TATAGGCTGTGATCCATATTTTAGATCCATATGTTATAATTGGTACACTCATTGAATGGTATAGTTTAAGTACAACTTGAACTGAAAGATGGTATACTTGATTTCAGTGTATAATATGCCCTTTTAAGCACGTTCTGAAAGTTGTTCAGAAGTAAACTTCAGTTTTCCGCTTGATGTAAACATCCTAAATATCCTAAAACATCCTGAAGTCCTAAATATTTATATTGATCTGTTATAGGTACAATATTTTGCGTATAATAGAAACCATATATATCTTTCACTGATGCTTTTCTACAGAAAATCATTGCATTTGTTTTTTTTTTTCTATATTAACTTGTAACTGCCAATCTACACATTTTTCCAAAGCATTCAGACAATGTTAAAGCCCAGATGGAGATTCAGAAATTAATACTAAGTCATCAGCGAAAACATGTGATCAATAGGCATTGAATCTAAACATGCTGGTAAAGTATCTGAACTATGTAAGTATTCTAAATAAATCGTCAACATATAAATTAAACAGTGTAGGACTTAAATTGTCACATTGTTTTACCCCTCGATTAGCTCTGAATGGTTCACTCATCATGTTGCTATTTTTACAAGGATACATTGTATTAGAGTACATATCACATAGAAGTTTATGAAATATATGAAATATGAGGGCTCTTCGGAAATTATTGAGACATTGTGTATATTCTTCTTTCTAATGTACGTTTTTCGGTGAAAATTTGCATGTACGTTTGACAAAGACTAAGAATTAATAAAAGCAAGAAATATTTTAAAAATATTTTATTTCTTCTTTTCAATGGTATATAAATGTGTCAATGGTAAAGGTACCCGGCGCAGTCACGAAATCAGATATTGAAAATATGTAAAACCAACGTTAAAACTCCCAGTGGACCCATTGTAAGAGAGAAAATAATTCAAATTATGTATATAATTTTTCAATTTAACTTGGACTTCATTTCGTGCAAGTTTGCTAGAATTTCGATCAGAAATAAGAAGATCATTAAAAAATTTAAGCGCGGTATAGCAATCTGATAACGACGACAAAACGGATTTTGACATCAAGGCGGAGCAGCGAGCATATCTAAAATTTTGTGTAGCGGTATTGAGAACTCTTGTCCAGACTGAACGACCTGCTAAAACAATAACAATGCAATAAAACATGTCTAAGGGTTTATTATGTTCCCCAAACGAAGTTTGGGAACATATTGTTTTTACTCTGTTTCTTATTATTATTATTATTATTATTTTTCTTCCTGGGTACTTTTTTGTCCGTGAGTGATCTCCGAAACTATACATCCGATTGAGTTGAAACCTTTTTAGGGTTAATAGGAATGTTATGTAGATTTGCGGAACGAAGGTCATTTTGCGCGCACGTGCATGCACGTGCGTGCGCGTGCAATGAGTAAAATGACCAATATACTTGATATAGCCATAACTTTTATATCTTTTGATGAAATACTTTGATACTCAGAATATAAGGATATATTAATAGTGTAGACAAGATGACATGGTCAGAATGCACATGCATGCACGTGCGCGCATGCGCATTGATTAAAATAACCAATACAATTGATATAGACTTAACTTGTACATTTTTTGATGAATTGCTTTGACACTCAGAATATAAATATATATTAGAAGTGTAGACAAGAAGACTTGATCAGCGCATACATGCTTGCACGTCCGTGCACGTGCGTGCGCTTGCAATGAATAAAATGACAAATATACTTGATGTAGCCATAACTTTCAACTCTTTTGATGAAATGCTTTGATACTCAGGATATCAGGATATATTAATAGTGTAGACAAGATGACATGGTCAAAATGCACATTCATGCACGTGTGCGCATGCGCAATGATTGAAATAACCTATACGAATGATATAGACTTAACTTGTATATTTCTAGATGAATTGCTTTGAAACTCAGAATATAAATATATATTAGAAGTGTAGACAAGATGACATGATCAGCGCGCACATGCATGCATTTGCATGCACGTGCGTGCGCGTGCAATGAATAAAATCACCAATATACTTGATATAGCCAGAACTTTTACATTTTTTGATGTTATGCTTTGATACTCAGAATATATATAGACATATTATAAATGTAGACAAGACGACATTGTCAACATGCATATGCATGCACGTGCGCGCGCATGCAATGCTAAAATGACCAATATACTTGATATAGTTGTTACTTTTATACTTTTTGATGAAATGATTTGATACCCGAAATATGTAGATATATTTATAGTGTTGACAAGATGACACGGTCATCATGGACATGCATGCACGTGCGCGCTCATGCAATGCGTAAAATGACAGATATACTTAATATAGCCGAATTTTTTTTTATCTTTTAATGAAATTTGAATATAAAGATGTATTAAAAGTGTAGACAAGCTGACATTGTCATTTTGTACATGCATGCCCGTGCGCGCGTGTGTAATGCGTAAAACAACCCAATAAACTTGATTGCCTTATTTAATGAAGCTTACAGGGAATAAGACACCAAAAGGAAGTTGGGGAGCGTTTGGGGAACATCTGTAACGGTCCCCGTTACAATTAATACTAGTTTTTTCATTGGTATTTCCTTACAAATAATTTAACCAGAGTAAAAACAAAAGCTCCGGACGACCATCAATTATTACGGACTAAACAACGTTGACCCGCGTTGCACAACTCGATACTGCATGATACTAAGTCAACCTGTATATGACACTTCGTGTATATTTTACACCGGGATAGCAACAGCACACGTTTTATTTTATTTTTTTTTAAAGAATCTTAAAGAATCGTTTAAGAGTTATAAGAGACAGTTTGAATTTTGGAATGTTATATGTAATGACAGAGGAAGTAGATTGAACGCTTCCCGATCATTTCACTATGAGAAAATATCGGCTGACTTGACGTTAAAATGACGTAACGATGCTGTTCCAGGTCAATAGATATATGCTTGTTTATAATTTCACTGGAACTTATTTAATTATCCTATAAATTAGAAATTTTGCACAATTCTTTTATTTGTTCTTTATAAAATGTTGACAAATGTTCATGAATTTATCTCTGTCCTTTGTGGAGTAGAAGTAATTGTCTCAATAATTTTCGAACAGCCCTCGTATATAGTGAATAAATCAGGAGGACCATATCATGACTCAAGTAAGCGTTATGGCCGATGGGCCTCTTGTAATTGATGGCATATGTGAATTATATATTACCAGTCGGCCTTTGGTTTTTGTTCTTGCTTGATAATTATATTAAGCATGTTTTAGTGGAGCATTTAGTAAGTGGATAGTTTACATAATTTGTTTAATTTAGAATTTTTAAAAGAAAGGACAAATGTGATGTGGTTTGTGTTGACAACCTTACCTGCTAAAAATAAGGAACTTTTAAAAGTGTGAGAACAAGACTCACAAAATGCATTGAGCTTATTTGTAAAAGTCATATTCAGTTTGTGAATTTAGTGCATGTATTTAGAGTAGAATTCTAATCATTGAAAGGTATGAAAGTATGACACACAAACCTTTTTTTCCGGAAAATTCTTTTGGCAAAAATCAGTCTTTGATTTTAAAAAAAAATTTGGTATTCCTCGGGTTCGAACCCAAGCAATGAAAATCGTGAGAATAAATTTTCCCTTCAGACTTATTTGCTAACTTCTACGCTATACTGCTCATAACAAGCAATAGCATTTAAATCATGTTTGTGATATATGAACCTTCTCTAACCATGCTAAGTGGACTTCAAATATTTCTCGAAAAGATACGAATGTTGTGTCATAAAATTGTATTTTTAAGATACAGTGGGTCTTTGCTTCATGTTTTTGTTTAGTCTTTAAAAATAAAAATGGTGCGATTACCCACTCACATGGAAAAAGTTGTGTTTCAGTATGAAGATCATTTTTACCCTCTCTGGTGTATATTGTGCTATTTCATAGATGAATAATTTCATTATTTGTTAGATTGTTGTAAATTGTGTAGATTTTACATAAAGTTGATGTTAAATTATACATGTAACAAAGACAATTTTGTCATAATTGAGATTTAATTTTTCGCTTTCTTAATTGTCGCACAAAAGGCATTTTGCTCACCTTTTTCGCCCATTTTCTTTATTTCTAAACATAAAACGAAATGAGTGCAAGTGCTGAATTCTGTAGACCCTCACTCCACGCCAGAAATGCACTCAGGGAGTTTAAAAACTGCATCTTTGAAGAAAAAATTTTCAGCCCGATGCCAAGGTTTAGACTGATGGATGTTGAGGACATTCCCACTGCAAATTCAAGGTCCTTTAATACAGTATCTAAAACCACAGGGAATTTTTATTTGCAAATTAATGTTAATGGAGGGACAGAGAGGCAGTTGAGTGTCCGTCTTAGGCTGTCTAAGACACAACATAACAAATCACTCTGTGTCCTTGCATTTAACCCCCCATTGCAGACGGACAAAACTAGGTCAGTGACATGAATTGACAAATTTATTTAAGTGTTTATTATAACAGATATAATGTAACAGATCTGCTTTTAATTAATAACTTTTTTCTTTTCCTATTTTTTTTTCTTCATTTTTCCCCCAGTGTTTTTTTTTAGGTTTTGTCGACATTTTACATTATACATACTGACACAGTTCACCAGTTAGTTTTTACACCAAAATTGTAAGTTTTTTTCTGAATGTACATGATTCATGAACTTTTTTTATATACATTTGCCTAAATGAAGACATCGCTTGACCAGTTGATTATAAAGTCTTAATGAAATATCTTAGAGAACCACATCACTCATTCTATTGTATTAAAACAATTATACATGTATTGAATTAAAACAGTGATACATGTATGGAATTAAATTTATTTACTTAATAAATTACATAATATTACCTAGAATTAAATTTATCCTATTCTTTCTAAGTTTTAAGTAAATCGTGTACACATATTATATAAGGTGATCTTTAACATAAAATCAAGCAAGTAATTAATCAATGTGTATAATTTCTAGATTTCATAATGGGAAATGGCCCAAGTACTGGGGAGCTTTTCGTCTCCAACGACTCTGGTGGGAATGTCTGGATTCTTCTCACTCCCACCAAGGACTATCCACTCACTGGGTATTTTGAAAAAGACTTTGGATTGTCCACTTTAGCCAAAACTGGTGTCACAGCAAATACAGTTGCAGATTTGTATAACGCATGGACAAAAGGAAAGTGGGAAATGAAAGAGAAAGAAAAAATTTCAGGCGCCATATTGGATTTTTTCAAAAACACGGGTTTACATCTGACCTCCGGTTTTGCACGTGATGTTTACGATAAAAGCCTCTGTAACCCTTTGCATTATTTGAGTGCCTATGGATGGGGAATACTGAATAATTCGGAAGAAATTTGCGTCACGGTTTTAGTGGAAACGCCAAATGATGAATTGAAGATGACGCAATTTAGAACACTGAAGAACTGGTCCTGGGTCGTAAATTGCAAGTGCGTGACTCTTACAAAGGGAAAATCACTTTGGGAGAAGAGAATCTCCACTGGGTACCCATTAATGAATTTGGATATAAAAGACGATTAATTTCTTAATAAAAATTATTGCTATAAAGATAATGACCACTTTAGAGGTGTCCATGTTGTACTCCGTCAAACAGATAAATATTGTTATTTAATATTATATATATATATGTATATATTTAATAAGCATTTTATAGAAAGTTAAGCTCAAATAACTAGTAAATTGTTGTTCCACATCAGAATTTGTTCCTTTTATTTAAAATTGGGTATATTAGTATAAGTTGCTGTTTTGTAAGACGACTAGAAAGTCACAATTGCATGTTTTTAACATTTTCATAGTCATGCTTAAGTCTGACAGAAAGGATCAATTCCTTATTGTCAGCCTTGGCTTTTGGGATTGGGTACATGTACGTGACTACTTTGAATGTTTTAGCCCTGTTGGGACACCTTTGACCAGGATAAATATTCTTGTTTTACAGAATGTGTCTATAATGAAAAGTGTAAGAGTGCTGGCATATCAGTATTCAATATATAATTATATATATGATTGAATATCTTATTAACAGCTTTTGAAAAAGTTTGATCAGAACCTCTAATAAATATCGAAATTATCAATTTCAATTGAATTTTTATAACTAACTTTAACTACATAATGCAAATATACAAGTTTCAATTTAAAAACCTCTCAAAAAATTGAAAAGGAATACGATTTATGAAGGATTATATCTCGTGTTAGAAGGGTATTTATAATAAAAGAAAATTCTCAAAATCTACACTTTTAATTTATTCAGTATGTTGAAACTTTTGCCTTACATATTTTTATTCAAAGAATTTTTTATGCTCCCCTTCGAAGAAGGGAGGGCATATTGCTTTGTAGCTACAATACTGTAGCCCTCTCCGATTTTTTTTTTTTTTTTTTTTTTTTTTTTTTTTTTTTTTTTTTTTTTTTGGGGGGGGGGGAGAGGGCTACAACTCCTTAGGATCTCCGTAATGGTACAAGTGCGGGAGTGATTCACTACCGCGCATATTTCGGCTCAAATTATCAGTAAGTGGGCATTTTATTAACATATCTTACCTGAACTCATAAAATGTAGTTATGCAAGACAGGAATTGATCCAAAAATATACAGATTAATCCGTATATCGGTTATTTTTCGTGTATGTCAACATCACAACTTGAATTTATCCGCCATGTTTACTGACCTTGATCGATTTTATTTTGGGACAACCAAAGAGAATTCGGGATCTAGGGGAGCGGATTGTTTAGGATTTCCCTTATTTTAAGCATAAATATCACTGTTTATGAAAAAATATCCCATGGAATGCTTTAATTTATCAATGTTTATTGATATCACACAACACAAACATTTATCATCACCGACATTTACTTTATCAAGTGATTCTAAATTTCAAGCGCAAGTCTCAGTACATCACGCGAGAACTGTCATGGCTGCTGAGGAGAACGATTGGTAAACACGCAGATTTATTTTACTTGGTTTTCGCGTATAAAGGGCTATGATGTTGATAGTGAATAAAAATTCCGTCTCATTGGAAGTAAGTTGAATACAAAAACAATTTATTTTGCTTGCAGTCGCCCTTATTTAAAAAATATATTTGCACCATTACGGAGATGCAGTGAAATTGTAGCCCTCTCCTGAAAATATCAGATTAAAAAAAATCGGAGAGGGCTACATTATTGCAGCTAATTGCTTTGCTGCTGTCTGTTGCTCGGTCGGTCTGTCTGTCGGTCCATCAACAGTTTCCGTTCATTTTCTTTGCAGTGGTTGCACATACTGAAATGAAATTTGGTATACAGATTTATCATACGAATATCTAGGTCAAATTATGTTTTGGGTACGATCAAGCAATTTTTGACAGAGTTATGCCCTTTGAACTTAGAAAAATTCCAATTATTTCCAGTTTCCGTTCATTTTCTTCGCAGAGGTTGCACGTAATGAAATGAAATTTGGTATACAGATTTATTATAAGAATATCTAGGTCAAGTTCTGTTTTGGGTACGATCGAGCAATTTTTGACAGAGTTATGCCCCTTGGACTTAGACAAATTCCAATTATTTCCAGTTTCCGTTCATTTTCTTCGCAGAGGTTGCACGTAATGAAATGAAATTTGGTATACAGATTTACCATAAGAATATCTAGGTCAAGTTCTGTTTTGGATACAATCGAGCAATTTTTGACAGAGTTATGCCCCTTGGACTTAGACAAATTCCAGTTATTGGGGGGGGGGGGGGTAAGTGTTTCACAAACATCTCTTGTTCTTTTTTTTTTTTTTTTTTTTTTTGTTTTTTGTTTTTTGTTTTGTTTTGTTTTTTTGTTTTTTTTTGTTTGTTTTTTTTGTTATATGTTAGGATGATACAATTTAGGTTTCAAATGATATTTTAAGAACAAATTTTACACATTTTTAGGCAAAAATAATTTTAAAAAAAACATTTTTTTTACTCTGAAATTTGCATATTTTATCAAATATCTTAAAATTGACATCACTAGCCCCATTTTCAAGGGTTTTTTTTAAATTTGAAATTGCACAATACTTTCAAAATATTAGCGCTCAGTTAACGTTTATATAAAGCTTGATATAAGAAATTAATTTATTAATATCCAAAATATGAAAATTTTTAAGTGCAAAAAGATCACACAATAATTTACGCGCATTTTAAAATTTATTTTACTCCATGTATGAGCTAGATTGTACATTTATATACATTTATCTTTGAAGGATGAAAAGAATTTTTTTTTCATTGATTGAGGTATCAAAGGAAAAGTTAGACGGAAACCTTTGTGTGCTTCGCGAATTGATGAAGTTTCCGTCGAATTTTTCATTTGCTACCTCGATCAATAAACAAAAAATGAGATTTATTTCTTCAAATGTTATAAAGACTTGAACTGTAGAACTTAGGTTTGTTTAAATATTGGCACCCGAAAATATCTCGAATATTGGCTGCCGAAAATGTCTCAGCTACAATTTAAACCACAGTTTGATATTGCTCGGCGAGAACAAAGAACTCGACATAACTTTTTTTTTTAATTTATTTTGCTCCATTTCATAAAGAAATAAAAAGGACTGTACATGTGGTTATGGGGTGTAACTAAGGACACGTTATCAAGGAAAGAAAAGTTCATATGCACTTTCTCCAATTAATAACTTTCTGGAAAAATAAATGATAATTGTCCTTTCGGAGATCGAGAATTCTAGCACCGACAATATATGAAATGCAATATTTTAATTCATACCTCGAGGGATGAAGAAATTTATGATAAGACATTTAATAGAAAATTCAGCAGTGCCCATCTTCCCAAGGCGCGAATTATAATAGTTATGTGTTTTTAATTTGCTACTTCCGTCCTAAATCCCTAATTCACACCGGAGACATCGACTGGTTACTTTATAGATACTTACATCATTTCTTGTCTCTGAAGGCCTTGACGTGCAGTTTTTCATCTTTTCAGTATCTTTTCTGTTTATATTAAAATTCTTTGACTGTGATATAGCTATTGTGGTTCAACTTAAGTTCAAGGATGTTTTTGGAAAGAAGGTGTATCAATATATTTTTTTCTCATACTAAGAGGATGAATTTTTATGTAGAATATTATCTTCTAGTCCATGAAATTTATAGCAGAAAAGAACACTTTACATGAAAATTAAAATTGTATTCTCCCCGAATACAATTTCAACATTTTCACGAAAATTCAATAAAAGTATTGCGAAGATGGTCTTGTATTATTTGTGAAATGTAAAAGGATCAGGTGCACTTTGATTCAGGTGAGCTACATACATGTATGTATTTAAATGCATCTTGGGTTGCCCATGTGTCTAGAGTCATGCCAAAAAATTATACTTTTAGCATGCTTGATGAATAGGAATTCAAACCTTAAAACATTTCTTTCCAAGAGAGATAATTGTACATAGATATTGTATATAGATATTCAAATTTGATGATATTATTAAAATGCAAAACCTAGATTTCTTTGAAGATTAATCTTTGCTAAACACAACCTCTTAGGATCAGAATTGAGCTGTAATTAAGCATCCAAGTAATAAGTAGGGCTTGATTTTATCATAGTGTGCCAGCAATTTTCATACTATCTGTGGAGCTGTGATGGATCCAATGTGCATGTTCCTGAAGCTCTACTCTTAAGGCACGTCTTAGTTCTTCTAAGATAGTTTCTTGAAGCAGTCCTAACTTGCGATACAAAATTGTCTTTAAAAATGTCTTATTTTAAGACATCAAAGGCGGTCTTTAATCCCCCTTTTTGAATTGCTCGTTGTCACAAAAGACAGTATGGAAGACAGTACGCGTACACTATTGCATCTTAGGACTTCTTTTAGGAGTGTTTGAAGCGGTATCAGAGAAATTGGGGTTCCGTTTCGTAGTACGTAAATGTATTCAAATATATATATATATATATATATATATATATATATATATATATATATATATATATATATATATATATATATATATATATATATATATATATATATATCCCTTAGGAATTAAGTCAACATAAGATGTGGTAACTTCCAATACGTGGCTTCAGTTTACAAAATAAGATATGTCTTGGAGTAATCTTTAAATATATATCTTAAGTCTTGTATTAACAGTGTTCTTAAGATACCTTCATAAATGTGCCCACTGAGTTTCACACGGGAACAACAAAACCTTGCCGGCACGTCGATTTACCCAAATGGACCCAAATGGAACCCAAATGGAACCCAAATGGACCCAAATGGAAACACAAATGGAAACCAAATGGAATATTAGATATACATCATCGTATTATCAAGTTGTTACTTGTTTAAAATGATGAAAATAATGAACTTACAAATGGAGAATATTAATTATTCATTTCTAATATTGTATTTTAAAATACGAATTAATTTTCTATAGTTTTCTATACATCGATAAAATTATTGGGGGGGGGGGGGGGGGGGGGTAGTGCGCCTTTCTCGTGCCCCCCCCCCCTCGGTTCCTACGGCTATAAAATCTATAAACTTTAATATGAAATACTTTCATTTTGTATTAAATGATATAGATATGCAAAAGTTATTTCAAATAGAATAAAAATATTAATTCGTATTTTAAAATACAATATTAGAAATGAATAATTAATATTTTCCATTTGCAAGTTTATTATTTTCATCATTTTAAATAAGTAACAACTTGAGAATACGATAATATATATTTAATATTCCATTTGGGTCCATT